GCCATACTTTTTTTTCTGTCGCTCTCACTCACAACGCTCTCTCACTCTGTGTGTGTGTCGCGTTCACATTTGCTTAATTCTTCTTGTTGGTTTTTGTGTGTGGCTCACTCTTAAGCACACATATACATGGCCAATAAACGGCGAAAAAATCGACAACAACAACAAAACTAAAGTAAAACTTGAACACATTTTTATGTGTCTCTCCGTGTGCTCACGGTTCATGCTATCATTTTCATTATTATGACCATATACACAGGAGAATGAGATCATACGGCATTTTGCTGAATGTGTTTTTTTGTTGTTGTTGCTTCTTTGCTCTTTACTGTTCCTTTTTCGTGTTTCGAATGGTTGTTGTTCTTTCTTCGACTTTTTTTCCGTGGTGTGCCTTTTTTTTCGCCTGCTTCTTCGGTGCGCGCTTGTGATTTGTGTGTTTGTTGGAATGAGTGGCGGTTTGGCACAGTTGAATGTGTGAGTTTGTTGCCGTTTCGCAAATGAGAGGTTCGAAAATAAACAGTACAATTATTGAATTTGCACAAGCGTTATGACAGCCGCACATATTTTGAGACAGTATGCGCACTTGCGCAGCGTCATTTTTGTAACACATCTCCATCGTCGTCGTCTTCGTTGTTTTTCGTTGTCTTTCTCTCTTTAGCCCGAACCATATTTAATTGTAATAATTTTCGGAAATTTCGTATGGAGTGTGCGTGTGTTAGTTACGCTTGCGCAACGCATTTGTCTCTTCCTTTGCTCATTGATCATCATCTCGTGTGCGACTGTATGCAAATTATCAATCTTGTTGATTCCAAGCGTAATTATCACACGATCAGCGGAAAGGATTAAGTGCGCGTTGAAATTTAAAAGAAAAAAACAGAATAAGAATAGGAATTGGGCTATTTTTAGGCTGATGCCAAACTATGTACGAGTGCTCAATGTCATAAACACATTATCAGCTCATTTCAGTTTTCGATATTATCACATCAGGTGTAATAAGTTCAATGCAATGGTCGCCGCACCGTACACATATTTATTCCATGAACATTTTTGTTTTCTATTTATAGATAAAATGGGCAAATAATGTGCAAATGCTTGTGAAAACAACAACATTCCAATTCTTGGGAAAACAACAGCAACCGCACAGCAATTCAATGGGATGGGCGAAAAAGCGATAAGTAATTGCACTCGAAATCGATAAGATGGATTTAAAATCCAAGCATTTATAGCGTTTTCTTAATTGAATTTTGTGTTTATACAACCGAAAGGAACACATATCCCACGGCTAATTGTGCACACACACAACAATTACCAATGCCCACAATAAAGTAATATACCCAATGGGCCAATGGCGCAGTTTGTTGTTTTTGTCTAGTTGCCTTTTTGTCTACTCTTTCTAAGGAGTAGATCGGTTTCTAAGCGCGTTTCTTATCTTCGGTGAGAAGATGAAGTCAGGCGTTTCCGTGCTACATTCACAAAATAATTTTATGTTAATTTTTTTCGGCGAGGCTGGGTATACAGCGCTATACCAGTTTGATCAAATGTAAATTGGATTTTATTTTCTCTGTGTTCTCTCTCTCTCTCTGGCTCTCTCTCTCTCTCTCCCTCTCTCTCTCGCTCTCTCTCATTCCATATGAATGGGCCATTCGACTCAGGCTATTATACCTATTACTCGTTTAATTATTAACGAATGAAATGAGTAGATATGTTTGTTGTACATATAGTTCGATACGATCACACGATCTAACAATCTCTTCCGCACTAATCTTTCGGTTGGTAGTTTCTTTCTTCTTTTGCTCTGCTTTTGTTTCGCATGATTCGTTCGCAAAGCACTTCGTTTAGAAAAAAAAAATCCAGTTCGCTAATAGATTCAAATTGAAAATGGTTGTCGTTATTTTTTCTCTGCAATTATTCATATTTATGTGAGATGACATAATGTCTCTCTCTCTCTCTCTCTATCATAGACTATGCCGCATAAGCTAATCACATCAAAAAGACTTTTAAGGTAATTGAACTAATGCGATAAACGAAAGAGAAATTAAAAATTCAACCTCAAAAAAAAAATGAATGAAAAAAACGCTCAAATTTATTTCATCGTTTCGCTTGAATGGCGTTCGGTTGAAATCATCGATGTTTCGACACTCTTCACTCGCCAACAAATACAACATCGGTTCGGATTGATTTTCGGGGCTGGTTGGTTTTGTTGAATGTGTTTATTTGTTGGCTAAAGGAAATCGCAGACTCCTTAATTGGTTGTTAATGGCAGTCTGTTGAAATAAACGACCAACATAAATAAATAAACATATGCAAGTGAACAAACAAACGGCAGCATTCAGAGTATGATGCGCCGCGACGCACACACACACACACACACCATCTGACAAAATAAGATAAATGGAGTGAGTTACGAAAATTCCAAGCGATTGCAATGGAATTTAATGCTTTGTGCATGCCACTCGTATACACGCGCGCGCCCTCAACATTTCATGTAATCCAAATGAATTGTTCCGAAATGAAATTAAACACAATTCGAACCCTGATGAGATGCTTTGCGATTTTTCGGACGAAAATACGATGATCGCGCGTGCACACACACACACAGCGGCTGGTTCCAGTACATTGTGTGATTTATATGATTTGAACGTGGTGTGCATTTCATCGCATAATTTAAATGGCTTATGGTGAACAAATGTTTTATTTTGAGAATCTTGTTATATTTTAAGTTAAGTGCTCCTCTCGACTGCAACGAATTTTTCTACCGATTTTTAACATCAACAAATTTTCAGTAGAGTTTTTTTGTTGTTGTTTCATGTTTCTCTTCACTTTGCGTTTCTGACTTGAAAACGTCAGAAGAAACAAACACAAAGATAGAGCGAGAGAGGGAGAGAGTGAAGAAAATCACGGTTGAGTGTACCTTCCAACTCAAGGATTAGTGCTACTTTTTAATCTCTAATTAGAGTACTTAATGGCAAATCTGCCTCTGACTTTTTTTTCTGTTTCTTCTCTCTCTCTCTCTCTCTCTCTCTGATTACGCCCAGCGAATCGGCAAAGCTAGCTGAAATAATACGAAAAAGCTTTGTGCTTGTGATGGTCGTCATCGTCGTTGGTGAGTTCGTCGAAATCAAGTTCAATGTTTGGTTTGCTGTTGTTGGTTTTTCGTTAATAAATTACAAATCACAAGTACCGATTAGTGTTTAAGTAGTGATTCGGAATTAAAAATCATGTTGCACACGGCAAAATTCAGTAATTGAATTTTGGATGGAGCTAAATTATCAATTCGGTGGAATCAATGGCAAACCAGCTTGCAATACCATATTTAATATTCACCCGGAGTTTTTCACCCTGTGGCACATTCAACTGTTTTTGTTTTTCTATATAAATCTTGTTAAATGGATATGCGCGCAGCGCGCCTCGTATGTTCGAAACGAGGTAAATATTTATGAAACAATCGATCGCACCGAATGTGTACTTTGTTTTCGTGCTTATTTTTTTTGGAGAGAGAAAGGGCGAGAGAGATAGAGCGAAAAACAAACAAAATGATTGAAAACTATGAAGAAAAATGGTAAAAACAAATGAAACCCGAATTGATCAACGAAATCGCGCGAAAGATAGGAACAACAGCTGGTGCTTTTAGACTGAAGTGAAAATGATTTCCAGCAATGAAAAAAAAGTGTATGCAAATAGTTGTGTATATGAATAACAAAAATCTATTGGAAAGATACAGCGCTGAAAACAAACAGAGTACACAAATGAAAGAATAGAAGAAAAAAATCGCGCAAAAGAGGGAAAGAGAGAGAGAGAGGAACTCTGCAAAACTTCCTGCTAGCACTCTTAATGAACGCCAAAGCGATTCGAAATGATTAAGTTGAACGAGGCATGAAACCCCATATTAACAGACGCTTTACAAAGTTTTTCGTCGCTTTTTTTCCCTTCATTTGTACGTTTTGGCCAATTCGCACATTTCAAACTCGATTCAATATAGCCGCGCGAACTGAGCGAGAGGCAAGGAGCGAAATAGAGTGCCTGAAAACTAAAATATATAATCGCCAAAGCGTAGAAATGAATTAAATTAAAATATTCTTTCGGGATAATCCCGGTGTGCTCGCTGTCTCTCTCTGCCTTTTCGATCAGACGAACCGAGAAAAAATTCACTCGTCTGACAATTAAATTAAATTTTTCTTCTCAACTGCAATTTCGAAAGCCAAGCTAACGAAAAACAAAAGCAATAAAGTCGTTGAAAGAGTTCAACGAAAGCAGAGAAAAAACAATTCAGCTCGTAAAGTTGTTCAAGTGAAGAAATATAAGGTTCAGTGAATCACACTTATTCGGTTTACTTTCAGACAGGCGAATATCGATCGCCGAGGTGAAATAAATGGAGGCAAAAATGGTTATTTATTTTGGGAAATGATGATGGAACCACTCTAACCACATATTTGCCACACATACTCTCTCTCTCTCTCTCTTTCTGTTTCGATTAGATGTCTATCTCATTTGCTCAGTTTATTCGTATATTAACCAACGGCAACAAAAGGCGATCACTTTTCATTGGATTCGCTTCTGCTTTCGCTTTTGCTTGGATCGAGTCAAATTTTAGATGCGCAGCAATAAAATCATCAAATATTGAAACCCATAAAACTAGAATAAAAGACTCAATGATGTGTGCCGAATTGATTTTCGGTGTAAGAGACAGAAAGGTTGGCGTATTAAATGGACTTTCTCAATGAGAACGGCCATGATATGTAGAAAAAATTTACAATTGAGTTGCAACCAAAAATGGCAACAAAACCGAAAATGCCGTTTTTCCTCAATCCATGTTTGGATTGGCGCTCTGCTTCTTTTATGTGTTTTATTTTCTTTTTGCAGGCTTTATTGAAATGTTTCCCGCAGGAGAGTGGGATTCAATTGAATTGAAAAGCAACGATGCTGACATAATGTATATTTAAGAAAGGGAAATGTTTGATTGAAAGAGGAAAAGCCAATAAAAAAAGAGAAATAAACGCATATCTTACCATGCTGCTCGCATTCGGTTGTGATGACATCGGGCATGTGATGGAGATTTTCCGGCAAGTCGGCGTTCAGATTGTCGTCATGTACATCATCATCGTCATCGTCCTCGTCAAATTCGTCATCGTCTGTCGAAATCGATATTATTTTTTTTTTCATTTGTTTGAAATTAATTTGACGGAATTGAATAGCAAAAATAACAATTGATTCAACGCGTTGAAAGTTCAGAGCAAAAAAAAAATATCTATTCGAAAAATGGTTTTGTTCAACTTACGATAATCTTTCTTTTCGGCAAAATCAATTTTGTTTGGTAGTTCTGGTTCATCATCTTCGAAATGTTCGTTTTGTTGCTCGAAATGATTAGCGGTGGCTGTGTTTACAAAATGATCGTTAACATGGTCCACAAATCGATTGTCTTCGAATGCATGTTGAATATCGTCATGTGCCTCGGATTTTTTCACCAACGTCTCCGTAATATCCACTTGTTCATCTGTTGTCACGATACCATCACCGACTCGTCCAATGTAATCGTACCCCTTTTTTTCCGTTCAATAAAAACGAGAGAAAGACACAAGCAAATAGAAACGAAATGACTGTTAGCTCGTACTGTTTTCAGTGTAAATAAAAGCGTAAAAAAATCGTTGTTAGTTTTCAATGAAAAGGAACGTTGCATTTACGTTCAATTCATGCTGAACTGTTTACATTCAATCGGAAATAGACAAAAGGCTGAAGTTTTGCAATAAACAACACTTCCGGCTCCGGTTGAATTCAAACAAAACGATTGACTACGAGTCGAAAGTCTGAAAAGGCTCCGACGTTTTGCAGCTAAAAAACTCAAAAAGACAAGTTGAAGATGAAAAATCCACCGACAACTTGAAGCTGCGTATACTCTGACAAAACCTATCGACAGTGGGACTTCGATAGACTTGAAAGAAAAACAACCAACAATCAAATTGCATCAAGACAACTTACGCTAGGCGACAGTGGACTTATGGCATTATCATCAGTGGCATCGACATCGGTTTCGGGGCCAAAATCGTCATGATCGTCATCGATTGAGCGGCCAACATGCAATTCATTGCTGGACAACTTGTCACCATCACCGTTTGATGTTATGCTCGAGGGTATTGTGTTGATGTTTGCATGGAATTCACCATCACCATTTTTACCAAAATAGAAATCATTTGCATCCATCGGATCGTGATGATGCACATCAACCGTTGCTTTGTTGAAATCAACATGCAATTTATCGGGTGATGGTGTTTCATCATTTACCGAACGATTTGATGCAAGCAAACCATCGTCAAACTGATGACAACCATTTGTGCTCTCGAAATCCATTCTTGTCACTGGTGATGCGTCTACTAATTTATGTTCGGCTACAATTTGATGTGGATCCTTCAGAAACACAACTATCACGGATATATTATCGGACGATGAATTCTTTTTAGCTAATTCAATCAATTGACCGGCAATAGGCTGAACGTCACCTGTAACAATGAAAAAGCGAGAGAAAAAAAAAAGTTAAAATATTGAAATATTTAGAGTAGATAAAAAAAGCAATTTAAATTGCGCTAAATCAGCGATCTACTTCAACTACGCCAACGAATTGCATGTAAATTGTTTCCACTAGATTTGAATCAATCATAAATTTTCCATTCGATTTGATAATGAACGTGTACGGCAAATGAATGCGCCGAAATTTGCATGAAAATGTCATGCGATTGCCAAAAGGGAGTCGAACTCAACAGTCCCATTGCACCAGTTATGTGGCAGAACGATGCAATGCGCACACCGTGTGTATTCCAAATAATTCAACCATAAATTATGCCAAAATTGATGTTCAATGAAAAATGAGCACTTGGCCTGAGTGTTAGTATGTGTGTGGCAAAAGTCGCATTCGGCAAAAACGCAACAACCACAAAAAGTAACAAATCGATTTATTAAACGACGAAAAATGTCGAGCTAATCTTAAAATGAAGCGGCTTCTCGACAAAAAAAATGTTCACTGAACATCGTGTTTAAAGCGATCGAATAGGCTTCTAAGCTCTCAGCCGCACATATTCAAATATGATCGATGCCAAATGTTTAACCAGAGCCGATGGTTTGTCATATGCCAAATGGATGGTAATTTATTTATAATGGAGTAAAATAGAATCAGTCATTTTTACTATGTGTGCCTGTGTGACCAGTGTGGGAGAAAGAGAGAGAGAGAGAGAGAGAGAGAGAGATAAGAAAAGAGAGGGCGAACTTTAAACTACATCACGATTATGTTTGATAAATGCTGTAACACTAATTGTTTGATTCTACTTAAAACAACGAGCTGCTATTGCCGCAGCAGCAGCAGCAGCAGCGAGAAAACGGCACATGAATAGGGCAACAATCATCAGCGGATCTATTCGATTCTGCACTCACACGTACACATGATTTGTCCGTGCCGAGCAGAGGCAAACAGGCGTAGAGGTAAATGGCAATGCCAAAGACAGAGGCACACACGGTCCATCAAAATAATGCTCTCAGATGCGATCATAAGATTGGGAATATGCATGAAAAGTGTGCAATGCATGAATTACAGTGTGCAGTGAGCATAATAGCATTCATTTTCTAGCTTAAGGTTCTCTGGCTGCTCTGCACTCTTTTTTTACGTGCCTCTCTCTCTCTCTCTACCTCCTCCATCGCCGAGAATCCGATTGCAGTCGCAGTTGCTACGTGAACCTGTCCGCTATGAAAATAGATTTATAGACGACAACTGTTTGACTTGGTTGAAGTTTTAACGTCTGATAAATGTCAACCAGATGCCCGGAATCGACGTGTTATTCTCTGCATATTTTCTATTCTTTATTTCTCCCTTCTCGTGTTAGTGTATTTTCATTTTTCTCTCTGTCTCTCTCACTCACATGATTTGTGCTTCTTCTTTCGCCATGAAGTGCATGGAATATGAAGAGAAAATAAAAAGACAAACAAATTTGGATATGATGTAGAGACGCCGTGTGTGTTTTGTTCAACTGTTGCATTTCAATTTCTATTTTAAGGCATAAAAATGCTCTTCGATGCATCGCAAAATTTTAATTGCAATGCCAGCACAGCTCGTATGTATGTGTGTATTTTTTTTGTTGTTCGGTGTGTACACACCGATCGGCATCGGTTGGCACAGCCGTAAATCGGAGGCCTCGATGTCATTCGTTCATACTTCATTTCGTTGCAATCAAACGATAAACATTAAGTATTTTTGAATTGTCTGCCATTAAATGTTCAGTTGTTGTCGGTTGTCGTGCGTGATTTGACTTTTGTCTAGGTTTTATGCGAAGCGTTGTAGTAGCTTGTGTGTGTGTGTGTGTGTGTGTGTCACACAATAAGACACTAATTTATTATAGTCGACAAAATCGAAATCGTTTCTCATGTGTAATCCAGATGAATGGGGCTGATTAAAACATCACATGCTATGGAATGATGGCATTCTCTTAGTACGCATTGCAACTGAAACAAGAAATCAAGCTTGAAGTCGATCGTATAAGAGCGAGAGATAGAAAGGGGGAGAGCGAGAAAGATGTGCACTTTATGTCAATTCCTAGTGCCACCCATCTTTGAGCTTCCTTCTCACGCACTAACCGTAACGAAAGCGACCATTTTTACATTGCCATGCTATTTGCTAAGTCGATCGATGTGTGTGCAACACCATGCAAATGTGCATGGATTTTTGCGTTTTTGGTTCTAGGCTTTTTTGTTTTGGTTTTGCTGTTGTTGGAGATGGGTGTTTGCTCATTGAATCTGAGAAAAAGATTATATTTGCGTCGTTCGTTTCGGTGGCATTATGAACCGTCAATAATTTATTGGATCAACTGGAATTTCAGGCGTTATCGTGTCGACACTGGTAAACATTGCATGCGAAAATCGCAAATGATAAATCGAACGGAGAGAGAGAGAAAAAACCGAAGTACGATTCACTGATCCTTATCCGGATTTAGTCGCTGAATCAATTTTGGATTAACGCATAAAGCCGATAAGCATTACCATTTCAACTGTGAATGTGAAATTGCACATCGAAATGAGTTGTTGTTGTTGTTGTTGTTTTTTATTGGATTTGCTATTGGTTTCAATGATTGTTGAAGGAAAGGTTAATCATAAAATGCGGTTGGTTTGTCAAAACTTTCATCGTTTGTACATCACTGTTGCTGTTGTTGCTGTTGTTGTGGTTGTTGTTACTCGTTTTTTTTTCTTCAGTTTCAGTCCTTTTGTTCAAGGGAATCGTATACAGACACGCACATAATATGATTCGATTAAACGCATATCACAGCCAACAAAATGAATTACGTCGAATCCAATCAACGGTGGTATTATATTGAGCACCGGCACTGCAACTGAACTGTATAAATCTTTAATCCGATTATTCGAAATTAGAAATCGAATTCAATTGAATTGACCCTGTGTACAATTTCATAAATTAATAACATATGCATCATCATCCAATGTAATCAATAAAATACAAGTATGTTCACTAATTTGAATTGAATGTCAACAAGACAGACGCGAGTGTGACGTGGCTAGAGCAACGTATGTCAGAAAATTCCATTTGCATGTTTACGCAGGTAAACCAAATCCAATGAGTAATAACAAACCAACTAACTCGAAGAGCATTTTTTTCCTGTGCTTTGAACTGAACAACAAAATATATTAGGTGAGCCATCATTTGTTTGGTATTTGAGTCTAGTCAAACCGGCAAACCAGCACGCACTGATTCCATCCGTGATTTTATTTCCTATTCAAAATGTGCGCACGCAAAAAAAGAGAGAAGCAGCGCCCGACTCATGTATTTGAAATTCCCAGGCCGCGCTAGCGTCCTATCTAAATACATTATAATGAATAAGTACAAACTAATACATATGCATTTCGCTATGAATGCGTTTCATGTTATGTGTTTTGATTTCATTTAATTTTGGAAATTGAAAAAAAAAATTTCTCGACAAAATATATTTTAAAACATCATTGCAATAAAAAAAAACTTCCAAGTAAGAATGAATATATTGATATTGAGTAAGAAAATTCGGTGAAATCGGTGAAATACTTGAATCAAACATAAACGTTTGAAAAACGTACGACGCGCGCCAAAGCATAAGTGATGTCAAAGTGTGTACAAAGAGTGAAGCAATAGTGCGTTTAATGCTATGTGCTATAGTGTCTCTGTTGATGTTGATCGCTGACGTTTATAGTGGTAGGAAATTCCGATGCTCAAGCCGACCATAACAAATTGATTTGCGTGTAAGAATAAAGAGAGAGAGGGGGGGGGGGGTAGAGCGAAAAATAATAACAATAATATAGACAACAGCGGCAACATCGAAACTTACACGTACACCGCTCTCGCACAATTGAGCGCTTGGGCCGCATGTGTAGTACGTTCAATCATCATTTTCGATGCATGTCTGTGAGAGCACAACATACAAATCTTATTATTTGCTTCGATAAATTCTAATACAAGTGCTTTGTCGTTGTTGTTGTCGACGTCGTCGTCGTCGTCGCCGTTGCTGTTTTTTTACACATACTTTCTGGTCAATTCAAATCGTTCTCCATTTTTTCAATATATATTTTTTTTTGCGTCTTCTTCTTCTTTACGATTTGATGTGTTTGTGCGTGGCTTTCGGGAGATTGTAGATCTTTGCCAATTTCCATCGCATTTATCGAACGATCACAAAATTACTAACGAATCGAATGAAGATGAGAACAACGAACGAAAACGAAAAACACACCGGTACGCAAAGAGATGAAAACAGAGAATATTATGCTTCTTTGGCTGATTTTCAAGCTCATGTACAATTAGACTAGACTAGAAGAAGTAAGAGAACGAGAGAGTATCTCTAATGAGAAAATGTCGAAGATTCCGAGCAACATATGGATATTGTACATACTATTGTAATGTCGTAATATTGATGTTGATCTGTTTTTTTCCGTTGTTGCTTCTCTCTCTCTCTCTCTCTGTGTGTGTGTGTGTGCGCGAAAGTCTTCAAGCAATGCTATAACGTTTCTACCTTAAGTCGTTTATTTCAAGGTTCACGCGAAAGACAAGACCAAATGTTTGGCATTTGAAATTTTCATCGGCAAAGCCAACCTTCAACAATGGAAACGACCAAAATCGACAATTATTCAACTAGTGCTCAAGATATTTCTCTCTATCTGTGTGTGTGTGTGTGTGTGTGTGTGTGTGTGCGTCGTTCGGTTGTTACAAATACAACAAGGCTATCGCTTCGGGTCAAACCTCAAAACCCCAATTGTTTGTCAAATGAACACCATTTTCTGGTTTTAGCTAACGAACAGAAATAAAAAATTAAGACATTTCATTCAATTTACGATAAAAATCCATTGTGTCACAGGGGAACACCGATTTTCATTTATTAAATTGCGAACGAACGACCGACCGACCGACTCTCATAAATAGCCGCATAACAAATTTTCGAACCCTTTCGGCACCAGTGACATTATCCATTTTCGGTTTTATCCG